CAGATGATGAAAAGTGGGGGATTTGCAGTTATCAAGCTATTGAAGCACATTCGAATTGCACATCGATTTCATTTACAAACTGACACGACAACAATAATCCAATTTTTAATCTGATACTACATGAAAGATGTGTGGCTTACTAATGTAAGTATAAAGATATGTGTTATAAGATTAAGCAAAAAAATAATAAATAAAATAAAATAGAAAAGTGGATGTAATATATGATAATTGTTTGTTGAAGTAAATAAATCTTGCACTTATTATCTTGGCATTGAACTTTTTGGTCTTGCAGAATATAGAACTAAAAGTTACATAAGCCATCTAGCGTGCATTTTGAGTTCATTCAGTATGTTCTCCTCTCCTAACAGACGTGTAAAACTTAAGATTGTTACTTTTGTTACTGTTAAATGCTTCCATTGCTTATCTCTGAAAATCATGGAGCTATCTTCTAATGTTGCCTTCTTAGGTGCATCTTCTAACGTTGTTGTGTTAGTATATGAGCATTGAGCAGCACTCTGGTCACCTTGAACACGAGTAGTATTCTGTGCAAATTTTTTATATATTATGCTTATTTATAAGGTTAGTTTCTTGGTACTTTTATTCAAGAACAAGATATAAATGACAACCAGAAGAGTAATTGCTTCTTGTAATCCCCAAGTTACAACAACTATGAATTGCTCTGGATATGGATTATGATTTTTATAACTTGTGTAGAGTTCAGAACTCAAGTCACAGAGCCTAATTGCATCAGACGTGTTCGTGTGCGAGAAATGGAGAGAGATGGACCTGGATGAGGTTGGTCTACTTGGTTCTGCATTTCGTGTGAAAAACGGCACAAAGTTGAAGCTCTGAAGCTTGAAAGAACAAGTTACAGACTTGAATCACTTGATTAAGAATGTTTCTGATGGATTTATGCACAACAGAACCTGTATATATAATGTTTCTGATTATGCTTATTAAAACTTCCATTTGTTTGTGAACTTAGTTGGATGTTGTGCTAAGGTTGAGAGTGTTTTGCTTGATTTCACTTGTTAGGCATAGGCTCACCCAGGCTTAACTTCTAGTCATATATCTC